CGGTACGCGGCCGCGGGGCCGAGGAGCCTCCAGGGGGAACAACAGCAGCGGAGTCGCTCGGACAAGGGCTGGGCTCCGTGTCCCCGTCGCCTAGTTAGGCCAGACCCTTTAGTGAAGCCACGGCCTCGCTGTGCCCGATGCGAGCCGAACAGGAGGCAACTGCAGCCTTTCTCGGTTACTGAAGCGCTGTCCCGTCTTTTCCCACCGGAGCCTCCGAGGAACGCGTATCTGTACGCCGAGGAAAGCGCTGATTGTGTGGCGGGGAGCAAGGCTCTCGAGAGGAGCTGTTCTCGCGGATACCTCTTCTCAAGGAACTCTTCCCACTGAGCATCGCCACCGGGTGTCTAGGAAAAAGGCGGGTAGAAAAATAAAGCAAAATGAAGCCATGGGACCTGGTAAAGAGGATCGCTCCGTAATTCAGTCTTGACTGCACCTGCTTCGATATCAGCTGCTCCTATTAATGAGCAGACGACCAGCACTGTTACAGGAGCTACTGATCGCTGCAAGGACGGTTAAAAGCAGTAACAATAAAACTAAACATATGCATATATATATATATAACGTCATCAATTGTGGACGGTTACTCTTAATTTATGCATGAAGAGAGTTACCCTTAAATAGTCTTCTCATTCGTAAAAGCATCACAGAAATCAACGAATTGGTAGAAAATCGGTGTTAAAAGGCAAAACGTGAAGTGTTCACTGAAAGAATGAGCCTGACAATCTTGCCTGCGATTAGGCAACCCTCCTGGAGACTCCTTTGGGTGCCCGACTGATACATAAGGGGCTGTGAGCTGGGGACTCCGTTTTCGGTAGTTCTCACGGGACTGACTGGCTGTCAGCACAGTTACCGTGCCGGGAACCAGTAGTCCATCGGCTCACTGTCGCTCCCTTTCCTCCTCACGGAGGTGCAGCCCCTTTGCATGCCCAAGCTGCAGGGGGCCCGGGTGGGCCGGCGGTGGGCGAACGCCGGGAGGAGCCCGCGGTCCTGGTCCGCCGTCGGGTCTCCAGAGAGCAGGAACACATGTCTGGAAAGCGGAGGGCGCTGGAGAGACGCGACTTCGGGGGACGTGGATGAGCGAAGTCACGACGCTGTTTTTTCTCCCCGCTAAGTCCTCCCCTCTGGCGGATATCCCCAGCCGCGAAGAGCCTTGGTTGCCATTGTTACTTGTTTTAAAAGAAAAGATAGAATAAAGGAAAGCGGCGCTGCTGTAGTGCCTCCTCCAAACATACTGGCACGCACGCTGCAACCTGGGAGGTCAAAATCCAGTGCCTTCGTTAATGACGAAGAGCCCGACACTGTGCGTGTTTTAGCGGACATCAAAGATTTAATGGATCAAATCCAGAAAATTAATTGCTCTCCCTGCCTTCTTAAAGTAGTCGGGTCTCGTTACTCACCATGTGCCCTGCGTGGCGCGCACCCTCATAATTTTTGGGGTGAGTGGGTTTATTATTGCCGTTGTGCATAACAACGGCGATTATGTTCGGGTCCTGGGCGCCAGAGATGCATCTCCGATGAGAGCGAAGCTCCTAAAACCCCCGGGGATGATTAGTGTTAGTATCAAAGCATCTTTTCAGGTGGAAAATGCGCGTCAGTACGTACTTATAACAGGAAGGTGGGGTTATATGAGTGCTACCGCTGTCCTTAGAGCTCTGGCACTCTCACGACGGCTGCTCCAGAATGGCTGCTTATTCTCATGCCTTTTTTGCGAGCACCACGAGGAGAGCTGAAAATGGCCCTGATTTTAATCATACATCATTGCCCCTGTCTGCTAGGTCCATAAACTTCGCCTGCAGGCTGAAATAGCATTGACTCATCCTGAACTCTCTTCCAGTGGCTGATTACTGAAGTGGAATCTGTCTGATCGACTTAATAAGAATTTACCACTGCACTAAATGACGAAATTTTGTTTTTTGCATGGCTGCGTTTTTGCAGTTGATGGCATTTTGAACTCTCCCTCCTGGAGGCAAATAATGCCCATAAATACTCTTATTCCTGACCTCATTAGTTAGATCTAGAGCCAACACCGCTTTTAACTGTTGTCTAGAGAGCTGCTTTAGCTATTTCTAAACATGTTGGGAAGTGAGAAAACTCTGACCTCTGCACCTTGCAATAATAATGTAGGGTTCCTGCAAAGGACCAACAGCCTGGAAGACAAGGGCCGGATTGTCAGCTCCCTGAAGGAAAGGCAGTCCTCCAAGAGCATGCTGGCGTGCGAGAACAGCGAGAAGGAATCCAGGTTCCGGCGCACCGAGACGGACTTCTCCAATTTGTATGCCAGAGGTAAACACTTTACAGTTTCTCCTTGCGCCAGCTCGGGCACGTCCCTTAATAGTCTGCCCTCGCCTCCCTTGGAAGTGCAGCCACGTTCAGACCGTGTTTTTCCTCGATTGCTTTTGAATGAAGGTCTGTGTCTGTGTTTGTTGGGAGCCGCACAAGTTTCCTGAAACGCGGTTTTATGTGTTTTGGGCCGATCTTCTACAGCTCCGCTCCAGCAGTTCCTCCGGGGTTACTCCAGATTTGGCATCCGGGAGGAGAGTAACTTTGTATTTTATGTCCTCCTTAGTTAAAGAGCAATGAAGTGGTCTGTGATTGCTGGTCGGCATCATTGACAGGGAGAGTGGGGAAGGGAAATCAATCCCTTTGCGGGGCAGAAGTGGGGACGCTGCAGGGGAAGGGCAGGTGCGGATTGGGGTGTTTTTGATTCACGGAAGGCGAGTGCTTCTCATCTCATAGCTTTAGCGTTGCAGGGTATGCTTTTCGGCCGGGGAGCCTTGGAGGTGCTTCTACAGTTCCCATGGGCCACCTAAGCTCGCCCTTCTTCACCTGGCGAGAAGGGCCGGGAGTTTTCCCCGCTGTAGCCAGGCTGCGCTGGGGCCGTTGGCTTCCACGTTCTTGAAACGCTGCGGGCGGTTGAGGCTGATTCATTTCCGCTTCTCTCCCCCAAAGCAAGTACTGACAGCCGGTTTGCCCCACAGATTTGCTGCCCTCTAAGAATGGTGATGAGCAGACTATGCAGTTCCTGCTGGAGGTTGTGGATATCCTCCTCAACTACGTGAGGAAGACGTTTGACAGATCCACCAAAGTGCTGGACTTCCACCACCCACACCAGCTCCTGGAGGGCATGGAGGGCTTCAACCTGGAGCTCTCGGACAACCCCGAGTCCCTGGAGCAGATCCTGGTGGACTGCCGGGACACGCTGAAATACGGAGTGAGGACAGGTAAGTTTTTGCATACTGTGGAGAGTCCCTGCTACGGCTTTTCTCTGGCTATCGGTGCAGAGAGCGGGTTTGAACTCACGGAGGTAAGCCCACACCCGCGACTGTGCCTGTCTGGAGGCTTGGCTCCAGGGCTGGCTGACGGTTGCTGGAAATGTCTCTGCTCAGAAACTTTAGTTATTGATGCTCATCCGTCCCCGCCGGCTAGGGTTCGGTGCTGTTTGCAGAGCACAGGAACAAGTTTTTAAGACGTAATCTCTTTCACTTGATGAAATGCGAGCTGTCTCTATCTCCAGGGAGCAATATCATTAGGTAAATGAGGGCGTAAATGACACTGAATTTGCAGTTTTTCTTTTTTATGTTCATCAGACGCTTAATAAAAAAGAGACTGAAATCGTAGGAATCGTCAATAAAGGAACCCTGTAGATTTCAGCCCATTACCCAGGAGCTCTGCCTGTCCAGGTCGTTCTGAATCAGACAGAAATGCCCGTTTAAATCACTTTTTTTACTGGGTGAGCCGTAGCCAGGCTGTAGAGTAAAGTGTATGCTCTTTCAGGCTGTTTGGCCTGAAATGCTTTAGACCTGTATCCGCAGAAAGCTCGGCTGGTACCAAGCCCTGAGTGCTGTGCGTACCCAAGCGGCTCAGGAACTGGAGCGATAACGGAGCGAACGCGGTGTCTCCCCTCCCCAGTATTGTTCCAACGTTTCAGGGCTGCTGAGCTCTGCCCGGCCAGCTGCCCCCTCCAGCACGGCTCGGCTCGGCACGGGAGCGCTGCTGGTGCGTTCCCCGCGGAGCTGGAGCGGCGGACAGGGGCAGCTCCTGGAGGGAGGGAGGCTGTTGCCTGGCAGTCTCTGGCCGGGCAGCTGCGAGCCTTGGCTCCTTGCTGCGGCGGTTAGTTATGCAGCTGTGAAAACCCAGCGCAGTGCTTTCAAGGAACAAAATCTTGACAACAGATGTGGCAGCTAGAATTCTGTGCTTTTTCCTAGTTACATGGCGGTTTGATTTACTCAGCAGAGTCAGGCGCGTACTTTGATTTTGTGCCATTGATCAAAGGGGGCAGAGCATTTCGCTCCCAAACTGCTGGGCTGTCGAGCAGGTGGCCAGCAGCTAAGCCAAAGGGGCTATGCTCTGTGTGCTTGCGTCGTTATTCCGCTAACGATCGCGCCGGGATGTCGGGCAATCTCCTCCCGGCACCTCGACCTACCCTGGAGCTCCCACGGGAGACCAGCAGGACCTGTGCCCGGGAGCTTAGAGGCAGGGAACTGACCAGACACCGGCTCTGTTCAATGCACTACCTGGTGCAGCTTTAAAGAAGAGCTGTTCGGACAGCATGACGGTCCGGGGGACACGCCCTGGCTTCCTGGGGCACACATTCTCTCTCCAGGTGAAGCTCCCTTTAAAGCCACCGGGGCTGAATCTTCAGCCCAGCCTTAGGAGACCGCGGGCTCGCTAACAGCTTTGGGAGGTCAGCGAAATGTCTCTTAAAATAGCTTTCTAATCCGTGTGTCATGGCAGGGGAGAGAAGCGCTGATTTGTAAAGGCAGCAGCAAAGTCGCGGTGGTATTTCTGGGCTCTAGCCCCGAGCAGCCCAGGCGCG